AGAGGCGTTGTTGCGAGCCCTCCCTCTAAGTGATCTTTTACCACTACTTGGTGCGGCGAGCCTCCTCCTAGTCGGTGGCGAGGCTGTTGGCGACGGCTTGGGTAGGTCACTTTCCCTCACAGATCTCTTCCTCGATGAAGCCGTGGGCGGTACCCGGCGCCTCGCTTTAGGGGAGAGCTCTGGGGTTGGCTGTGGTGCCAGGCTGCCGCGACGTGACCTCTTACCACCAGTAGAGGGAAGGACCCGCCGCCTGACCGCTGGCGAGCCCACAGGGGTACGGGTGTCCTGTATCCCCATCGACTTACGGCCACACTTCTTTCCGGAAGTGCTCGCCGCGATCTTCACAGGATTCTTCCGCGCCTTCAAGGCAACAGACCTCCTGAGCTTCCTCGGTCGTGGGCCGGATGCCGGCCCAGCCTCCCCCTCACGTTGCCCATCCTCTACAGAGTCCCTCCGCCTCTTGACGGGCTTCAGTACCAGTCGACCAACACTGGGAATGACAGGTTGACTATGGCAGCGGCTTAGGCCTCGTAGCCGTGGGATCTGCAGCAGTGTCGTCGAGTGATCCAAGGGAGAGAGCCGTGCGCTCCTCCTCCGTCGAGTAGTTGGAGGGGACGGGCTGATATCCATTGGAACTGGCGTTTGCCTCCCCGAACTGCGGCGGACATAGCCGGACATAGCACCAGTCGTTGATCAAACACTGAGAGGCGAGAGCCCTAGCAGAACCCAGTGGTTTGGGCCCGTAAGCAACGCCCCCAAAACCACGGTCGAGGAGAAGGAAGAAGAGAACCCTTCAAAGGACCCAAGGGAGTAACCCAACACTCTGCATTCGAGACACATAGAGGAGATCTAAACTTCATAGGGCACAAAGAGGTGGGGTGAATACATGCAGCTCTTGGAGGTCATTAATTCCTAAGTAGTCATAAGAGCCCCTACAGAGGCGAGGCAGGAGGGACCCTGACTTCAGACTTAACACTGACAGGTGGTCAGATGGGAGGGCGATAGACCTGCTGTGAGGCCACTAGATGGGGATATCCATAAGGAACCAGTGGCTGACGAACATAGGACCCCTGGGCCCTCGAAAGGGGTTGGGACAGCAATGTAGACGACGTTATCATGGGGCCGAGTGGTGGTCTAGGACGCACCAGAGGCTGCTGCTGACCATAGCTCATCCTTATCGTAGGAGAAGACAAGCGGACCACTCTGGGTGGCCTGAAGGAGGGCATCAAAGCGCGAGGACCGGTTGGATGGCCACCAGGCCCACCTCGACGGAGGTAGGGGGTTGCTCCTATAGACTTCTGCGTCCCCTCTACGATATGTGTTGGTGATCCTGATGTGGAATACCAAGGACAAGACGCGAGGTGCCCCACCTAATGATCCGACCCTGCCGAGGCTCACCAGATGGCAGGACCACCGGCTCAGCCACTGGCGTTGTCTGGACCCAGCTGTCCCGAGTGACACGAGGGCAGCATAGCTGCAGGGGCTCTAAACGTCGCTCACTACTCTCCTCTGTCTGGCAGGCTCGGTCCACAACAGTCACGTAACTATAATAGGATCTCACTGAACTCCATGTGCGATCTAGTTTACCCACTCTCTACTACAGCGGCGGGTATGCACGAGGGCTGACCACTGAGGCCGCCGGCAGCACCCAAGGGTATCATCCACTGGGGATCATGGTCTCGGGGACTATAGTCTTGGGACTCGTCCTGAGTGTCATACCCAAGTGGGCTGTAAGAGGACTCCCCAGTCGGCAGGCGGCGAAAGGTCTCCCTCGGCAAGGATGGGAAAGGAGGCCGTACCACGCCCAGCGGCGACAGTCGAGGCAAGTTGGGGTCTGCAACCTACCGCGCAGTACTGTCGTCATCACCACCTACTACTACTACTACCTCTATATGGGACTCTTGGGCCATGCTCGTACTTGACACCAGAGCTACGCCACTGGGGGTCGATGCGGTAGTAGCTGACCAAAGCTAAACGGCTATTAAAAGGCGAGGAGGACTACCAGGCGTTCGCCAATGTTCCTTCGACTGTGGGAAGTGCTTCAGATCCCCGTTCGGGGGCCTCTCCGGGGTCCAAGGCATGCTGCTATAGGAGAGTGGGATGCTCATGTGATCAGCCCTGCCGATAGTAGCTCGACGACAGACCCCAACTGGCTTATCAGATATAGGGGACACCGACTCAGTGGTCGAGGACGGTTGTCTTCCCCCAACTCGATCTTCCTCTTCCGACTACAGCAGACCCATTCCACAAGCAAGCGTCGTTCAGGTACCTCTGTCGAAGGGTTATAGAAGCCATCAGGTCCTTGGGAGGAGGAGTGGGTACTCCTCTCCTTCTGCCTCGAGACCTCAGCCATCTTCCCGATGGTGAGCCCCCTCGGGGTCTGGGACCTTCTCGATGGGCGGCCGATGATGGGCATAAGAGTGTGGACTGCAGTAAGGCATGATAGCCTAACCCACCAACACGAGGCCATGGTACTCATACGATCATGTTACAATCGGGGCGCGCCCGTACTGTCTGCCTCCCCCAGGCTTCGCCGCGCTACAGCGTGTTGGTCTTTCCTCACTGTCGAAGGGAGCAACAAAGGGAGGAAGTTCTCCTCCGCTACGATCAAGCATATACGAGGTTATGTCCTCAAACACACGGACGGAGAGGGCGCAGGTATACATGCAATTGAGCAGTGGGCCCAGGCCCACTAGGGTTACTTGCATTAACCGACACTTGGAAGTGTTGCTTGTGGAATAGAATGTCATTACCCCTCCGGCCCTGTGACGATATCGCACATTCAACCCATCCATCATCAGTAGTAGACCCTTGGGCACTAACAAGACCCTGCTCAATAGGAGTAGTACCGGGGGCCGAGGCCACGACTCGATAGGAGCTCACTGCCCTCCTATTGACGTCGGCAGGTGGTCGCCATTGGACTATCAACACTTCACCTTCCATTCGATAAGTCAATTGTTGGACTCTTCCCGGAGGGGCAGCAGTAGCCGCCCCTTTCTCGAGTAATTTGATAACCCCCTGGGCCGCGGAGTTCATCCGTTGGAAGGCCTCACCAGCCCTACCCCTCAGGTGAGGCTCATTGGCGGTCTTATCAGGATGGACTACTTTACTAAGGGCCCGGAGCTTCTTCTTCACCTCCCCAACACTACTCGGTGGCCTCGTCAAGCCGAGTATCTGCATCGGCCCCGCAGACTGGGGTAACCTCTCTATCCTCTCCAACTCCACCATCAATAGTGACTTTTCTTCCCGGACTCTACCCCTTGGGGTCAATCGATTCAACCAACCCTCAGGCTCGACCATCCGCCTCTTCTTCCCAGAGGCCCCATTACCATCCCCACCAGTAGCATCCCTCTTCCCCATCGGAGAGCCCAACCGTCTCCTGACCATGGGAGGCATTCTGGACGGCGAACCCATAGGGCCGCTAGCTCTTTTTCTTTTCCTTTCCACCCTTCGCTCCTCTAACCCCAGCCTCCTCAGCACCTTCGCCGGCCTGGACTCAGTCAACAAGGACTCTCGTGGTCTCTTGCCTCCGCCCAGCAGCTCCTCCATCGTGTCGTCCTCTATCCAGAACCAGGCGTACGCCGACTCACTAGGAGACCCTTCCACCGCGCCAGGTATGGGAGAACTCGGAGACATTCGATCAACGCTGATTGCAGTCACAAGGGGTCCTGACAAGTCTGGAATGTTATGATTTAATTTACCACTGCCACAAACACGTCGCTGCTATCGAAACAAGACTCTCAGCCAACTCTCCCAATACAGTAGGAGACGACGAGGGGGCATCAGAGGGGACCAAGACTAACGAAAGGGCTCGGAGAATGCCCTGTCCCTCCCGAATAACACAACCAGAGGAGCACCTAAGACGATACTTGATACAGTGTAGTTTGACGAAGTTCGATCATCGTTGGTGTTGTTGTGGTATGTGTCAATCTCAGAGGCCGGTGTCCCACTTGTCCTCTGACACTACTACTGCTACCTGAAGGAATCCGCCATTTCCGCAGTTTCAACACCAGAAACGACAACGATTCTAATATGAGCGATCGGTCGATGTTTCAGAAGGGGCCCCTCAGGGTTTTCAATCCAGCTAGGTCTATAGTACTGAGGGCTAACGCGAGATCCAATCACATGGATATAACGATGGACCCAAAGTCCTTACTACCAGCTGCCTGCCTGCGAACCACCGTCGATTGAGGCCAAGGGCACACTTAGCCGCAGCAGAGCCCGTGGTGAATCTCAACCAACAGTCCCCATTCTCGGAGGCCTCGTCGAGCCAACATCCTACTATCGTGCCAAACCGGACAGCCTCAGACCTGACCACAAAACTATGACCTGCGCATCGTGCCCAGTGGGGCCCTCACTTCACGTCGTTGGTGATCTCCTTGAAGAACTTCTCAGGCCCTCCCTCATGCATTAGCTGATCCCCCGCAGCCCAGAGGTTCCGCAGGATCAACACTCGACTGCCGGTCCCTGTGGCCGCCCCTGAGGCCGCTGAAGCCAAGTTAGAGGCCGGGAGTCGGCTAGCAGACTTCATGAGGAGAGAACTGCCTTCAGATATGGGCTCTCGGACCATGGCCCGCATGAGCCTAGCTCGGGAGAGGTTGTCCTTGAGGAGGCCCGTGTGAGTTGATGGACCCTCCTCGTTATCTTCCACAAGGTCAAGATCAGTGTTTGGGCCCACGACCACCGAGGACCTGACCATGGACGGTAGAGCACCTCCTACTTAGCGCCATTACGCTAGTCCTGCCGATGCAGCCGATGTCGCCATACCAACCTTCAACTCCTTGCCTCCTATCATCATCCCTGACCGAAGGACTCTGCCGCTACTCCCCATGACGCGGGACCTCACCACTGAGGCCCTTAAGAGCGCTCCTAGCATGATCCGAATCCCCATACTGCACGAAGGCATACGTTCCTCCTTCTCCCTGATTTCGAGGATGGCGGTCGACGAAATCGAGTGGACCTGTTCCGCATACTGCTACCCCAGGCACCAAAGACTACTACCAAATGGTTGGAACAGGGCTCGTAGGTCGTCCTCGCTGAGGTCGGCCACAAGGTTCGCACTCCCACCGACGTAGAGCCTAGGGAAAATATACGGCCCAATACGATGCAAAAAGCCCCCCCCCCTTACCTGCATTCGTTGACCCTCTCACCGGAAGGATTCAGAACGGCCTGAGTCGAGTTGAGGTTCTTCTCGGCCTGACTAGGCTGTATGTTAGCCCCATGGCCCAGCCTGGTCCATAAGGAGGTAGGCTCTATACCGAGGGCCTTCATAGCACTCTCCTGCTCCTCGAATTCTACATAGGCGATACCCTTAGACCTCTGAGAGCGACCATCTCGAATGATCTGGACATCTCTCACTTTCCCAGCCATCTTGCTCATGAGGAGGTACACAGTGCGGTCGGATACATCCATGCCCAACTGCGCTATAAGGACCGTCCGAGACGCTCTAGACCGACTCTGGTGTTGATGCTCCCGCCTCAGGTCCTCTTCCTTACCCCTCTTCCGTGACCTGAGGTATTCCTCCTCATCCCTCGATCGCTTGGTCCTGCCCTCCCGACCATGGGCCATCGGAGGTGACCGACTACTTTCCCTCCTCGAATGCCTTGGACGGCTTCGTGAGCGGGAATGACTTGGAGAGCCCCTTCGACGATACTGCCGGAACTTGGGATGATGATGGTCTCTGCCCATGCCACGACGCGGGATATCGCCTCCATCATCACGGCGACCTTCATCTCTACGGCGCACCTCACGGTCCCCCTCATCACGACGACGGTCCTCACGGTCCCCTTCATCACGACGACGGTCCTCACGGTCCTGTTCATCACGACGACGGTCCTCACGGTCCCCTTCATCACGACGACGGTCCTCACGGTCCTGTTCATCACGACGACGGTCCTCACGGTCCCCTTCATCACGACGTGGATCATCATGGTCAGCATCATTAGAGCGAGACTTTTCACGGTCGTCACCATGTCGACGCGACCCTTCACGATCACGGTCATCTCGAGATCGGTCCGGACGGTTACCACGCCTTTCCCGATTTTCTCCATCTCGAGGTCCATCCGCATGACCACCATTTTGACTATCGTCTCGAGGTCGGTCCTCTCCATCACCATCAGCCCCATGGTCCTCTCGATGATCTCTTTCTTTATCACGAGGACTCTCGGTGGCGGGTTCACGTGGGCCAGGCCCAGGAGAGCGAGGCGGAGAGCCGTCCTCAGAAGTTGGCATAACAACAATACGCACTGAGAGTCATGCAACCATTGATAACTCTTACTCAACAGCAAAGACTGGAAATGACATCGGCGAACCGCGGGCGGGACTTCGATTTATCCCATCAGCTCGACCCGAAGTCGGTGACCCTGAGAATTGTCTCCTCTAAGAAATATCACCTGTGACACCGC